GAGCTAGAAACGTGCCATGGAACTCCAAATTCCATTAAGTTGTCAGGTACCAATGCCATCTACTAGTTAAAGTGATCAGTTTAAATTCATAATTGATTATAAAGATAGGATTAAGTGTCAAAGGGATCACATACATAATACCAGTGTCTGCTAATAATAATTGATAGAATTAAAAAGGAGAGAGTGACCCAATATGGGAAGCAGGATACACAGCAGACTCAGAATGGCAAACTCCCTAAACAGCACTCTGGCCTCAGAATCAGCCTTTAAGGCATTCAGATCTGGCTAAAAAGCCCATGAGAGTTTCTCAGGCATGGAAAGCGAAAACACTGTGGCAAAAATGACCTAAATGAAAGATCTCTGTGAGTGAGATCCCAGCGGAAAGAACAGGCCATCAAAGAAGGAGGTACCTTTCTCTGAAGGAGGGAGAGAATTTCCACTTTGATTATGGCCTTGTCTAAATAAGGTTGGAGTTCGTGGACTCAAGAGGCTTCCATAGCCTTGGCAGCTCATTGCAAGAGCCTCGGGTGATTACTGACGTCATAAATAAGAGTGTCAATTGTTAAATCAACAATAGGAGTCACTGTGAACTTACTCCCCATGTAGAATCTCTGTCCTTAATGTGTATACTATGCAAATTAACAGTAAAACTAGTATTCAAACAGTACTTTATACTTTGTGTGTCTGTGTGGGTGCAATCTGTTGAAATCTTTACTTGGTATATACTAAGTTGATCTTCTGTATATAAAGATAATTAAAAATGAATCTTAATGAAGAATGGGATGGGAGAGGGAGTAGGAGATGGGATGGTTTGTGGGTGGGAGGAAGGTTATGGGGGGGGGAATTGCTATAATCCAAAAGTTGTGCTTTCAAAATTTATATTTATTAAATAAAAGTTTAAAAAGTAAAAAAAAATAATAATAGCATTCAATTTTTTTGGGCACATATATAACGTTGGAAGGAAGGAAGGATGGTTCGTAGACTCTTCCTAGAGAGTAATTTGGTTATATGTATCTATATCAAGATTCTTAAAAGTCTGTATCTTTATAACTTCATAATTCTAAAGATATATACTTTTAATTATCTTGCTAAATGTTCCATTCTAAGAAAATTATGAGAAAAGTGGCTAAAGATAACAACTATGACATAATAGGAATGTCTTCCAAAATTAAACCTCTACACCACAGTATTTGTTAGGTAAATTTTGGTAGTTTATACATTTTACAAACTTTAAGAATTAATTTTTATGAAGATTTAATTTTTTAAGATATCTGGCTAAAGAAGATATGGTATATATATCATGATATATCACTCATCCATAAAAGAGAATGAAATCCTGACATTTGCACCAAATTGGATGGAACTAAAGATTATTATTCTAAGCGAAATAAGCCAGACACAAAAAGACAAATTTCTTTTCTTCTCTCAAATGTGGAAGTTAATATAAAGAAATAGTGTAAAAATGTGTGGATGTCATATTATTTGGTATGCAGATAAGATATTTGTAAATGTTATCTTTACTGAATTTTTTTTGGCATTTGGGGTTTTATTCATTCATTTATTTATTTATTTTTAACATTATGTTACTCTTTTTTTAACTTTTATTTAATGAATATAAATTTCCAAAGTACAGCTTATAGATTACAATGCCTTCCCCCCAATAACGTCCCTCCCACCCGCAACCCTCCCATCTCCCACTCCCTCTCCCCTTCCATTCACATCAAGATTAATTTTCGATTCTCTTTGTATACAGATCAGTTTAGCATACATTAAGTAAAGATTTCAACAGTTTGCTCCCACACAGAAACATAAAGTGAAAAATACTGTTTGAGTACTAGTTATAGCATTAAATCTCAATGTACAGCACACTAAGGACAAAGATCCTACATGAGGAGTAAGTGCACAGTGACTCCTGTGGTTCACTTAACAATTTGACACTCTTGTTTATGGCATCAGTAATCACCCTAGGCTCTTGTCATGAGCTGCCAAGGCTATGGAAGCCCCCTGAGTTCACTGACTCTGATCATATTTAGACAAGGCCATGGTCAAAGTGGAAGTTCTCTCCTCCCTTCAGAGAAAGGTACCTCCTTCTTTGATGACCCGTTCTTTCCACTGGGATCTCACTCGCGGAGATCTTTCATTTAGGTCTTTTTTTCCCCAGAGTGTCTTGGCTTTCCATGCCTGAAATACTCTCATGGGATTTTCAGCTGGATCCACATGCCTTAAGGGCTGATTCTGAGGCCAGAGTGCTGTTTAGGACATCTGCCATTCTATGGGTCTGCTGTGTACCTCACTTCCCATGTTGGATCGTTCTCTCCCTTTTTTATACTGAATTTTTTTTGACAGGCAGCGTTAGACAGTGAGAGAGAGAGACAGAAAGGTCTTCCTTCCATTGGTTCACCCCCCAAATGGCCACTACAGCCGGCGCATTGCGGCCAACATGCTGCGCCGATACGAAGCCAGGACCAGGTGCCTCGTCCTAATCTCCCATGCGGGTGCAGGGCCCAAAGACTTGGGCCATCCTCCACTGCCTTCCCAGGCCACAGCAGAGAGCTGGACTGGAAGAGGAGCAACCGGGACTAGAACCGGTTCCCCAACCGGGACTAGAACCTGGGGTGCCGGCGCCGCAGGTGGAGGATTAGCCAAGTGAGCCGTGGCACCGGCCTCTTTACTGAATTATACCCTCTATATTATAATATACCTTTATTCCTCATTTTATGATCCTTGTCATGAATCAAAATTATGTGGTATTACTATCCCTGCTTTCAAGAAAAAATAGTATGCAGGTGTATGTATATAATATAGCACAATATTATAGATTGTTAAATCTTAAAGATTTTGATTAAATAAAGATAAAAATACTAAAGTGATTTTTAAAGTATTGACAATGGCAGGGTACAATATATTTAATGTTTTATGTTAAATATTTATATAAAGTAAAATAATACATAGAAAAATAACTGGAAGAAATGATGCTGAGCTGTCAAGTGTGGTTTCATCTGGCTGTTAGAATGACAAGTAGAGGTGATTTTTTTAAATTTCTCATACTTTTTTAATGCTTTCCCCAGTTGTTTACAGTAAGTGTGCTACTTTTGTTATCAAAGGAGAAAGAGAATTAAAAAGGAAATTCATAGCCTTTTACTCCTCCTGCTTCTTCCTCTGCTTATCCTAAAGGTTTTCTAGAGCATTTTGGGGTTGGTTTTCAACTTTTTTCTGCATAGTGGGCACAATCACTTTATTACATTTTGTTAATGTTATATCACTTGACAGAAATGCCCTGTCTAAATCATTTAGAAGAGGAAGACAGCGTACAAGAGTACTGAACTTCCATAAGCAAGAAGGCAGAGTTTCTGTCCCAACTGTTGCACAGGTTGAGGATCCCTAATCTGAAAATCTGAAATCTGGGCAGATTTTGGTAAGGCCTATTCAAATATCCCCAAATCCAGAAAACTCTAAAATATGAAACACTTCTGGTTGCAAACACTTCAGATAAGGGATCCTCAACTTGTATTTATTAATTGTGTGATCATGAGTGATTCACTGACTGACTTTTTCTCCATCTGTGAAATAAAGATTAGTTTCTTCTGGCTGAAACACTCTGAATTCTTTTGTAGTTGGGAGATAGAGATGGGGGCAAGCAGAGAGAATATTGAGTATGCTAAAAACCTACTGGGATTATCATTCTTTGATGACTTGATGAATATTCCAGAAAGTCCTTTACTGTATAGCTATAATTCCATAAATCTATTCACCTTCTGAGGGGATTTGTTTATTACTTCATTTGTTTGTGAATCCCACTCAACCCACAAATATTTCAATGTCAGAAACACTCTAGGCACTTATTTTGTTTTCTTTCTTTCGTTATTTATTTATATGAAAGAGTTACAAGAGAGAGAAGGAGATGAGGAGAGAGAGAGAAAGAGAGAGAGAAAAAGAGAGAGAGAGAAAGAGAGAGAAAAGAGAAAGAGAGGTCTTCCATCTGCTGGTTCACTCCCCAGTTGGCCACAATGGCCGGAGCTTCGCCGATCCAAAGCCAGGAGCCAGGAGCTTCCCCCGGGTCTTCCCAGAAGGGTGCAGGGGCCCAAGGACTTGGGCCATCTTCTACTGCCTTCCCAGGCCATAGCAGAGAGCTGGATCAGAAGTAGAGCAGCCGGAACTTGGACCAGTGCCCATATGGGATGCCAGCACTGCAGGAGGCAGCTTTACCTGCTACGCCATGGCACCAGCCCCTGTTTTCATAAACAATAAAGAACTCAGCATTTATAAAAGAATGATTGTTTATAGCTCCTGTCTTTACTGTTGAGGAACAGTGTCTTTTTTTTAGCATACTATTTGTTGAACTCTTTACTTAGTGTAGGGTTAACCTATGAGTATAAAGTACACTGAAAATAGATCTTTGTAAAAATTAACAGTGGGAATAGGAGAGGGAGGAGGAAGGGTTGGAATGTGAGTGGGAGGGAGAGTAGAGCGGGAAGTGTATCACTATGTTCCTAAATCTGTGTATATGAAATACATGGAACTTGTATACCTTAAATAAAGTTAAAAAAAATAAAGAAGGTTATACACATGGGAAAAAAAAGATTTATTGATTTAATTGAAAAGCAGAGTTACAGAGAGGAAGAAACAGAGATATGCGCACACACACACACAGAGAGAGAGAGAGAGAGAGAGAGAGAGAGAGAGAGTTTTCCATCTGATGGTTCACTCCCCAAATGGTCACAACAACTGGAGCTGGGCTGATCTGAATCCAGGAGCCAGGAGCTTCTTCCGGGTCTCCCACGTGGGGCCATCCTCTGCTGCTCTCTTAGGCCATTAGCAAGGAGCTTGATCGGAGTGAGCAGCTGGGACTGGAACTCGTGCCCATATGGGATGCTGGCACTGCAGATAGCAGCTTAACCTGCTATGCCACAGTGCTAGCCCCAAGGATAGCATTTTTAACCAATAAATTGTTCATATTATTTATAATAACTATCTAATGCATTTTATTTTCCCCTTAAAAGGGCCAGATGGTCATGTGACTAGATATGATTTGGATTGGCTGGCGAAAAACAGCTACGAAGGGCAGAAACAGAAGGTTATCCAGCCTAGAATATTATGGAATGCCGAGATCTACCAGCAAGCTCAAGTTCCATCTGTAGATTTCCAGAGCTTCTTAGAAAGTAATGAGGGACTGAAGAAGTTTTTGCAAAACTTTCTGCTCTATGGAATTGCATTTGTAGAAAATGTCCCTCCCACTCAGGAGCACACAGCAAGGTTGGCAGAAAGGATCAGCTTGATCAGGTAATTAGTTAGTTTTCTGAAATCCACAGTAATTATTTTCTATAGCGTAAGTACCAATGAAGAAATATAATAGGTATGGTGTCCCTTGTTTACAAACCAGAATATTTTGTAATCTGAATAAGGAGACTCCCACTTTTAGTGCTTTATTTGAGGACTAGGTTTATAATCTCTAAAGATACTTATATGTTAAATATAATAAAGTCACTGATGTATTTTTCTAGACCAGTGATCCTCGAAGTGAGAAGTATCATTGTACATGAGAAAGAACACTGAGTGTGAGTAACTAGGTAATAGTCCAAGTTGTACCATCAAGATGTGTGATAATAGGCAAGTCCTTTACACACACACACACACACACACATAAACACTCTCAATTCCCCCTCCTCCACTGACCTGTATACATTCCCATCTGCTCAGAAGAGGATTAAATAAGTCGGTGTATAAAGATCATCCATTCTTGACTTTCTATGATTGCTAAGGTTTGATTCAGAGGCGAGTTTTTTTTTTTTTTTTTTTTTGTCCATCAACTTGTGAATGATTTTTATTTTTTTTTCTAATGGTTAGATTACCTCTTTTTTTAAACTTTTATTTAATGAATATAAATTTCCAAAGTACAGCTTATGGATTACAATGGCTTCCCCCCATAACGTCCCTCTCACCCGCAACCCTCCCCTTTCCCACTACCTCTCCCCTTCCATTCACATCAAGATTCATTTTCAATTCTCTTTATATACAGAAGATCAGTTTAGCATATATTAAGTAAAGATTTCAACAGTTTGCTCCCACACAGAAACATAAAGTGAAAAATACTGTTTGAGTACTAGTTATAGCATTAAATCTCAATGTACAGCACACTAAGGAACAGAGATCCTACATGAGGAGTAAGTTGTTAATAATACTGCCTTACCACATTGTACAGCACTTAACCAACAAATTCGGATCTATATTTAATTTGGGTCATTATAGTAGTCCAGATAAATGTGTGTTTTATCCCCTGTCCTCTGGATGAGGCACCTGACACTCGGATATAGTAAGTAGTTTTCTCAGGGTTGCTCTGCTAGTAAGAAATAGAACTGGAATTCAAATAGTTTGTTTCCTTGGTCTAAAAACAGTGCTGTTTTTATTACCACTCTGCAGTTCTAGGTGTTATATAGATTGATCTGTGTTGTTAAATGTGATAGAAATCTACATTACTATAATTAGCACTTTCATTTTACTTAAAAAGTCCCAGATATAGTTCATTGTGTAGCAGACAGTATGCTGTGTCATTTGCTCTGTGTCAACAACATTTAAGTCTTTCTGTTTGAAACAAAGTGAGAACTTTCGAGTGAAAGAAACTGTACTGGTAAGCAAGAAATTTAGAAGGTTTTGGCAATTTTAGTTCAAAAGAAAGATCATTGCCCATTTAGACTTGGCATTCCCAGAAGATGAACTCTAAAAGTTAAAATATTAAAGTGACCTTTATTCAGATCTGAACCCACCAGGACAATAATTACAAGAGCCCTTGTCTCTACTGTTGAGTAACAGTGATTTTTTTTCTTCCATTTGTTTAATTTCTTACTTAGTGGAGGATTAAGCACATGATTATAAAATAAATTGAAAGTATATCATTGTAAAAATTAAAAGAAAGAATAAATAAAGAGGGATGAGGGAGGGTGGGAGCATGGGTGGGAACTGTCACTATGCTCCTAATTCTGTATATATGAAATACATGAATTTTTTACTTTATGTAAATAAAAATTATTTTTAAAAAAGAATTAAAGTTAGGAGACTATTCTAAGTCTTTTATGAATTTTACATTGTTGAAAATTTCCTCTTTATTGTTATTTTTACCTCAGGAAATGAAAAATAAAATGGGAAGTTGAAAAAAATATGAAGTATACCTCAAGGATAGATACAAAAATGATAATAGCAAGTCTCAGTAAAACTATCCCTTTTTCTTTCCTTATTTCTCTATTGCCAAAAGATGAGTGAGTGTCTACATTAGTTACTTCTGTGTAACATGAAGAATATGGAAATTTTTCAATCACCCTTGAAAATTGGAGTATCCAAGATATTAGAAAGTTTACATCTTTATTGAAGAAATAATGTTAATAAAAGACAGAGCTGATAACTAGTACTCAAACGCTATTTTTCACTTTATGTTTCTGTGTGGGAGCAAACTGTTGAAATCTTTACTTAATATATGCTAAACTGATCTTCTGTATATAAAGAGAAACGAAAATGAATCTTGATGTGAACGGAAGGGGAGAGGGAGCGGGAAAGGGGAGGGTTGCAGGTGGGAGGGAAGTTATGGGGGGGAAGCCATTGTAATCCATAAGCTGTACTTTGGAAATTTATATTCATTAAATAAAAGTTAAAAAAGAAAAAAAAGACAAGAGCTGTAAAAATAAAACAATAATACATTTTTTAAAAAAAATCACTGCTAGAAGCAACTATATTATCTTTTTTTATGAAAGGAAGATGAGCACTTGGAGGAATCCTGAATGTAAAGGCTATTAAAAGTGGACACATCGAAGCGTAGGTTAATACTCCAAGCTTTCAGAATACGTTATACTTCAAGTTTTCCCATCAACTTCTTAGAATATTAACCAGTAACAGATTTGTCAAACCTGATGTGGTGTTCAACTCTCATTTTTACCTTGTGGATGGAAATATGAAACAAAAAATGTGTTATTATGTTTAAATAATTAAGAAAGTACTGGAAAGAGTTTTTGGGAGACAAGAATGATAATTTCCAATAGCTAACAGATCTTCCTTTATTTCATTTGACAGAGAAACTATCTATGGGAGGATGTGGCATTTCACTTCAGACTTCTCCAGAGGTGACACTGCATACACGAAGCTAGCTCTGGATAGGCACACTGACACTACCTATTTTCAAGAGCCCTGTGGGTAGGTGGAATAGACTTTACTGAGTAGCATCTTTACATGTGATGATCTTGAATGACTTCTTAGTCATTTTCCAGTCTCTTTGAACCAAAATCACATTTGCTGCTCCAGATTTGTATGACTGTTTTTTTTTCTCTTCCGCTAGAGATGTGATCTTTTTGAAATACCCTAGCTCAGTCTTCTTCATACTCATGGGAATAAAAATATTAAGTGATTAAAAACCCTCCTTACTTCATAAATGTAGTTTTAGTTTTGTTAAAATTGTTTTTCTCAAAGTAAATTTAACTTACCAAAAAAAAAGTACAGGTTAACTGTTAGTTTTGGAATTTGCATACTTTTCCTGCATCTAGTTATTAAATTATTGCAAAGAGGTCAACCCTTACAAATGTGACTGCTTTGGGTATGGTATTGAGAGAATTTTAAATCTGATTTACAAGAAGATTGAGAGGATAAATGACTGAGAAATAGCCTTTTTAACATAGACTCAGAAGCTACTGAGCCAAATATGATATATATCATACTTAATTTTCCTGCTTTCAGAGATCCTGCTCAGTGTTATAAATGTATGGAGATACCTATAACTCTGCATCCTCATTCTAGAGGATGAAGAAAGGAAGAAAGAGGAAAATGGATGAGAAGCAGCTGGATAGAGGCTGAGGTTCAAATATTGACTAACTCTTCCCTTATGACCATCACCAGAGATAAGAAACTGTGCTTTTAATTTAACTCTTTTGATTAAATGGCAAGGACAAAGTAGATTAGCAGTATAGTTGTAGTGGTTCAAAGTTCAGGTTATGACTGTGGAAGACAATATGGAGATACCTCAGAAATCTAAATATAGACCTATCAGCCATCCCACTCCTAGGAATTTACCCAAACCAAAAGAAATCAGTATATGAAAGAGTTTTCTGTACCTCCATGTTCATTGCAGCACAATTCATAATAGCTAAGATATGGAATGAACCCAGATGTCCATTAACTGTTGGCTGAATAAAGAAATGATGGTATATATACACTGTCACTCCCCCTCTTCGTGGAGGAACGACACAGGACCCTGCGCTGTTCTTTCGTCTGCTCGGCCCTCCCCGGGTTTGCTGCTGGTTCTTCCCGGGTTGGCTACTGTCCCTTCCACCTCCGTGGAAGGGCAGTTCCCCCTGGCCACATTCCCCACTTCCGCAGGGGAGCAGCACACCGCCGGCCGGCTTTCTCGGGGAGCTGCACAGGTGTTCCCCTTAGATGTTCCCCTTAGATGTTCCTGGTGCATGCCGTCTCTCTCCTCCTTTATAGTCCTCCTCCGCCAATCCTAACTCGGCTGCCCACACGCCGAGTACGCTGCTCTCCTCCAATCAGGAGCAAGTCCTACAGCTTATTGGTTGAACTGGAGGCAGCTGTGCGGAAGCTGTTTACTTCTCTCCCAGCGCCATGTTGTGGGAGAGCAGATGCATAGAATAAGTCTTAATTCCAGTAACTCAGTCCAGTCCGGATTGCTCCCCACAGATCCCCCTTTCTTTTTATTTTTGGCGTTGATATGCGCCTGTCTTCGGTGTCCCGCGGCACACACTCTGCTCTACTTGCTAGAGTTGCCACAGGTTCTTACAAGTCCTATCAATCAGGCAAACCGAATCCGGGTCCTCTCTTCGCCATGTTGTGAGGAGGTTTTTAGGCGCTGATGCGTGCCTGTGTTCGGTGACCTGCGGCTCATACTCTGGTCGAGCCACCTGCTGGCGCTTACCGCCTTAATCAGGCAGACCGAATCCAAGCTTTCTCATTGCCGTATTGTGGGGGAGACTTATTAGTGTTGGTTCGTGCCTATCTTCGGTGACCTGCAGCTCATACTCTGGTCGAGCTGCTTGCTGGCGCTTACCGCCTTAATCAGGCAGACTGAATCCAAGCTTTCTCATTGTTGTATTGTGGGGAGGCCTTACTGATGTTAATTCGTGCCTGTCTTCGGTGACCTGCGGCGCATAAGCTGCCAGCCGCCGCAGGTGCTCATCGCCTCACTCAATCAGGCAGACCGAATCCAAGCTCTCACATTGCTGGGTTGTGGGGAGGCCTTTCTCTTTCTCTATTTCTCTATCTCCGGGCATTCCCATTTCTCCTATTTTACTTCTGCCAGCATTCCTATTTCTCTCATTTTACTTCTAAAACTTCTGTTTCTCTTATCCCCGCAGCCTCCCGGCGCCTCGCCCTGCCGGCAGGCTCCGCCCCGAGGCTATTTCTCGGCGGCCTTCCGGCTGAGCCGCTTCAGCCCACGTCTCTCCCATCCGCGCGGCTCGGCTTTGCGCGCACACTCCGCGGTCTCGCACTTAACCCTTTCGCGTCTGAACCACGGCCTCGCGCCAGCCCCGCGTTCCCCATCTATTCACGCCCCGTGCTCTCTCTGCACGTGGCGGCTTCCGCGAGTCACACAGCGTAGCTTACGTGTCCGCCACTAGCATTCAATCCAAGTTCCCCGGGCTAGCCTGGCGAATTCAACCCAGCTTACGTCTCCGCCCCACGATTTGGCTTCCCGTCCTTTGCTCCCCGGGCTAATCAGACGGATCCCAATCTGGCTTACGTTTCAGCTTCTGGTTTCAACTTTTTGCCCCCCATTCCCGGGCTAACTTGAGAATCCCAAAGTGGCTTTCGTTTCCGCCTTGGCCTGGCCCCTGCGGCTTCAATTTCCCTAACATTTTTCTCTACCCGGTATGTTTCCCCAAACTTTCCTCCAACGATATTCCTCCCTCATTTCTCCTGGCCTCTCCCCACAGTCCGCATCCGAGTCTGTTTGTTCTAGCTTTCACTTTCGCTTTCGACCTTAGAGATTTCTCCCAGCTTCCCCCCGTAGTCCGTATCTGAGTCTATGCCTAGGCTTTCAATAGCTTCTTCCGGCACCCTTTTCGTCCGGCTTTTCCCTAGGCTGTTTGCTAGTCTCTCTCTCCGGTATTTTCCCAGTTCTTCCCGTTTCTTTCCTCCTAAGTTTCCTATCCGTCCTAAGTTTCCTATTCGAGTCAGGTTTCCTATCCGAGTCACGGCACCATTATGTCGCTCCCCCTCTTCGTGGAGGAACGACACAGGACCCTGCGCTGTTCTCTCGTCTGCTCAGCCCTCCCCGGGTTTGCTGCTGGTTCTTCCCGGGTTGGCTACTGTCCCTTCCACCTCCGTGGAAGGGCAGTTCCCCCTGGCCACATTCCCCACTTCCGCAGGGGAGCGGCACACCGCCGGCCGGCTTTCTCGGGGAGCTGCACAGGTGTTCCCCTTAGATGTTCCCCTTAGATGTTCCTGGTGCATGCCGTCTCTCTCCTCCTTTATAGTCCTCCTCCGCCAATCCTAACTCGGCTGCCCACACGCCGAGTACGCTGCTCTCCTCCAATCAGGAGCAAGTCCTACAGCTTATTGGTTGAACTGGAGGCAGCTGTGCGGAAGCTGTTTACTTCTCTCCCAGCGCCATGTTGTGGGAGAGCAGATGCATAGAATAAGTCTTAATTCCAGTAACTTAGTCCAGTCCGGATTGCTCCCCACATACACTATGGAGTACTACTCAGCTGTAAAAACAAAAATGAAATCCTGTCTTTTGTAACAAGATTGTTGCAGCTGGAAACCATTGTACTTAGTCAAATAAACCAGTCCAAAAATGACAGATATCATGTTTTCCCTGATCCAACATAACTTATAGAAGCTGAAATGTAATGTTTTGGAGTGAAATAGACATTTTGAGAATCAATGATTGCTTATAGCCCTTGTCTCTTCCATTGAGGAACAGTGTTTTGTTTTGTTTTATTTCTCTTCATACTATTTGTTGAATTTTTTCACTCAGAGTGGGGTTAACTATACAAAAATTAAGTATATTGAAAATAGAGCATTGTAAAAAATAAGAGTGGGAATCTGAGATGCATGGGGAGGAAGGGTTGGAATATGGGTGGGAGGGAGGGTAGGGGGAGAAGAGCCACTAAGTTCCTAAATCTGTATATATGAAATATATGAAACTTGTATGACTTAAATTAAAATAATTGTTAATAAAAAAGACCTCAAAGTTCAGGTTATGGCATAAGCTACACTTGCATTTGCATCCCATGTACTGGCTTTATGATCTTGGACAAGTTATTTTACCGCCCTGTGCCTCAGCTTCTTCATCTGTAAAATGAGATTAATAATAAAACCTATCCATTAGTGTTGCTAAGGGATTAAAATACATGATGTATTTAGAGCATTTGACATATTGCCGGCTCCGCAGGCAGAGGATTAGCCAAGTGAGCCGCAGCGCCGGCCTCTCTGTCTTAATAAATAGCACTATCATCTTTAAAGCTGTGCAGGTGAGAAAACTGGAGTCACTTTAGATTCTTGACTGTCCTTCATCCTCCACATCAAATAGTTATCAACTCCTGCCAGTTCTACCACTGTAGTGTCTCTCAGGTATGCACTCTTCTCTATCAAATGCCTCTCTAAGCTCAAGCCCTCAATAATTTATCAACTATTTAAATTATCCAAGTTGTTTTCAAAGCTTTTTGTCATCTTGCTTTCCACTAGTCCATTGTCCACACTACTGCCATAGTCAGCTCTTTAAAATGTTAATATGAGCATAGAGTTTCACAGTTTAAAATCATTCTTTTGTTCTCAGTGCTATGCCAAGAGGAACTTCTGACTTTCTTCCTTGAATAAACCTTGTGATTTTACATCAGCATATTTGGTCATACTGTTTCTTTGCCTGGAATGCTCTCTTCTCAGCACCTCAATCTCATTCTAGTCCAATTCTTGCTCATTCTTTAAGATTAAGCCAAGCCACCAAACCCTCCTCCAAAACATTTCTTTACACAACACTCCACCAGAGCAGATCATTCTTTTGTTTATTGTCTGTCTCTTGAATACAATTTTATTATAGTACCTATCATATTTTATTGAGACCCTGATCAAGTTCCTGGCTCCTGGCTCCTGGCTCCTGGCTCCTGGCTTTGACCTCCAGCTGCTGTGAGCATTTGAAAAGGGAACTAGCTGATAGAATCTTTCTCTTTCTCTGCCTCTCTCTCTGCCTCTGTCTCTTTCTCTATCTCTGTTCTCTCAAACAAACAACTAAACATTAAATGATTAAAAACACCTTATTCATGTATTCCCAGGCCCAGCACATATAGGCTTCAATACATATCAAGTATATTTAGAAGAAATCTCCAGTGACATTGCTATTCCAAACTGTACAATTGGATATGAGGGGGAAAACCTCATATGTCTTTCTTTCCTTTTTTGTTTTACAATGACATACTTTCAGTTTATTTTGTAATCATAAGCTCAACCCTCCACTAAGTATTCAATAAACAGTAAGAAGAAAAAAAAACACCATTCCTCAACAGCAGAGACAAGGGCTATAAACAATAATCAAATCTCAAAATGTCAATTTCATTCATATACCTCACTTTTTTAATATTCTATTAGTTACCACAGATCAGGGAAAACACAATTTTGTCTTTTTGGGACTGGCTTATTTCGCTAAGTATAATGGTTTCTAGTTGCATTCATTTTGTTATATAAGACAGGATTGCATTCTTTTTATGGCCAAGTAGTATTCCATAGTGTTTATATACCACATTTTCTTTATCCAGTCATCAGTTGATAGACATCTGGGTTGATTCCATATCTTAGCTGTTGTAAATTGAGCTGCAATAAACAGGGGGTACAGATAACTTTCATATGCTGATTTCATTTTATTTGGGTAAATTCCCAGGAGTAGGATGTCTGTGTCATATGGTAGATCTATTTTCATATTTCCAAGGAATCTCCATACTGTTTGCCACAATTGCTGTAATTGTTTTTTATGAAAAGAAAGTGACACAGATTCAGAAATGATTTCATATATAATTTTCTGTAATTTTGATATGTTCTCTATTCTCCACTGAACAGAATTTTCTTTTCTTTGCACTCTAGTATTCAAGTGTTTCACTGTCTTAAGCATGAAGGAACGGGTGGCAGGACACTGCTGGTAGATGGATTCTATGCAGCAGAACAGGTACTTCAAAAGGCACCTGAGGAATTTGAACTCCTCAGCAAAGTACCATTGAAGCATGAATATATTGAAAATGTTGGAGAATGTCAGAACCACATGATCGGGGTTGGGCCAGTGTTAAATATCTACCCGTGGAATAAAGAGCTCTATTTGATCAGGTGAGTACCAAATAACTATTCCCTAGTGTAATGAATTTACCAAATATTAACATTTTACTGCAGTGAAGATCCTTAAGATCCCTATAATCTACCACAATATAATCTTGCTATTATATGGATTTTTATTGTACACCATTTTACATTCTTACTATAATTCTTGTGGAATAATAAGTAGACCAACAGCCAATGAACACTACATTTTGGGATAGCAGAATTTGGAAGTAGTGTGTTTAAAATGAAAACACTGTCAAAATGGAAAATGGTTATTAAGTTCTCTTCAGTGACCAAGCATCTTCAATAGCCAAAGGCATGATGACAAAAACATTTATGTCTGTAGGCCAGATTTATGTGAAGCTCCTGGCCAGTGTATCCAATTTTTGGCTGGATAGCACCACTTAGATAGCTTGTAGGACCATAAAACATGTTATATTCAAGCAAAACTCATCCATCTTCTCCCATTTTAAGCGTTTTCCTCCACTTGTTTTTCCAGTTTCATTGATTAAGTGGTTATCACCTCCATCCACCAAGTGGCCCAAATGAAAGACAAGTCATCTAACTTTTCCCTCTCCTTGATACCACCCAACCACTCTTATCAACTCTGCCTCCTAACTTTTTCTCCAACCATCCACTTACTGCTTTCTATTCACAATTCCACAATTTTTTCAGTGAGACCACTATTAGTTTTCTTCTATACCAGTGCTAAAATCTTTTACCTCGTCTCCTTACTTCCACTGTGAACCTTCTACTATTCATTTTTCATGCTATTGCAAGAGCAGTCACTCCAAAACACAAGGCTTAATTTATTGCTCCCCCGTTAAGATCCTTCTGAATTTCCTCAATGTCTTTTTTTCAAGGTTTTTATTTAACGAATACAAATTTCGTATGTACAGCTTTTAGGGATAGAGTGTTTCTTCTCCCTATTCCCGCCCTCCCACCCCCATTCCCATCCCACCTCCTACTCCCTCTCTCATTCCATTTTTCATTAAGATTCCTTTTTAATTGACTTTATATACAGAAGACCAACTGTATACTAAGTAGAGATTTCAACTGTTTGCAGCCACACAGACACACAAAGTATAAAGTACTGTTTGAAGACCAGTCTTACTGTTAATTATACTACAACACATTAAGGACAGAGGTCCTACATGGGGAGTAAGTGCACAGTGACTCCTGTTGTTGACTTAACAATTAACATTTATGATATCAGTGATCACCTGAGGCTCTTGTCATGAGCTGACAAGGCCATGGAAGTCTTTTGAGTCCACAAACTCCATCAGTATTTGGACAAGGCCATATGCAAAGTGGAAGTTCTCTCCTCCCTTCAGAGAAAAGTACAACCTTCTTTGATGGCCCCTTCTTTCCACTGGGATCTCACTCACAGAGATCTTTCATGTAGAGCATAGTTTTTGCCACTATGTCTTGACTTTCCATGCCTGAAATGCGCTCATGGGATTTTTCAGTCAGATCCGAACGCCTCAGGGGCTTATTCTGAGGTCAGAGTGCTGTTTAGGGCATTTGTCATTCAATGAGTCTGCTGTGTGGCCTGCTTGCCCTGTTGGAACATTCTCTCCTTTTTAATTCTATCTAATGTTATTAACAGACACTTAGTCTTATTTATGTGATCCCTTTCACTTTTGGTCCTATCTATATGATCAATTCTACACTTAATATGATCACTTTATCACATAAGATGGGGTTAGTGCCACCCAGCTTAATGGGACTTGGAGTACCATGGCAAGTTTTTAGCTTCACCCTTAGGAATGTGTGCTGATCTGTACAGCTCCTCCCTCTCTGATTCCCACTCTTATTTTTAACTGGAATATTTTCAATTGACTTTATACACCTATGATTAATTCTATGTTAAGTAAAGAGTTCAACCAATGGTGTTAAATAGAAAAAAAGATTAAAAATGACTTAATAAACTGTTCCTCAACAGTCAAGACAAGGGCTGTTTAAGTAATTGCTTCTCGTAGTGTGAGTTTCACTTCTACAGGTTACCTTTTAGATGTTCTGTTAGTTAGCACAGATCAGGGAGAACACATGTTATTTGTCCCTTTGGGACTGGCTTATTTCACTAAGTAGAATGTTTTCCAGATTCATCCATTTAGTTGCAAATGACTGGATTTCGTTTTTTTAACCGCTGTGTAGTATTCCATAGAGTACACATCCCTAGTTTCCTTATCCAGTCTTCCGTCGATGGGCATTTAGGTTGATTCCATGTCTTAACTATTATGAATTGAGCTGCAATAAACATGGAGGTGCATATGACTCTTGTATTTGCTGATTTCATTTCCCTTGGGTAAATTCCAAGGAGTGGGATGGCGGGGTTGTATGGTAGGACTAGATTCAGATTTCTGAGGAATCTCCAAACTGTCTTCCATAGTGGCTTTTCCAGATTGCATTCACACCAACAGTGGATTAGGTTACCTTTTTCCCCACATCCTCGCCAGAATTTGTTGTTTGTTGATTTCTCAATGTGTTTTAGAGGAAGAACAGAGTCTTCCTCATGACTTAGAAGGTTCTGCATTGTCTCATCCCTTCTGATTCTTTGAAGCCTTACCCTTGTACAGTTCATGTTTTCCAACACACATTCTGCCCTAACTATACCAATCTTCTTCAGGTTTTTTGGGCCCAATTTTTTTCAATCTTACATCCAAGTTTTTTCTTATGCTATTTTGCATATAAATTACTCTTCCAATTTCCACTGATCCCAAGCTGCTCCTACTGCACATTATTTCAATTTATTCAACAAGTATTTAACAGACATCTGTGAACAGCCCAGCCCTGTTCTTTTCTTTTCTCAAAGATTTATTTACTTATTTAAAAAGTAGAATTGCAGTGAGAGCGAGGGAAAGACAGAGATAGTTCCTCCATCCACTGATTCACTCCCCAAATGGCTGCAAAGGCTGGGCCAGGCAAAAGCCGGGAGCCAGCAGCTTCATCTGGGTCTCCAATGTGGGTGGAGGGGGCCATCTTCTGCTGCTTTCCCAGGCACATTAGCAGTGATCTGGATCAAAGGTGGAGCAGCCAGGACTTGAACTTTGGCTCATATGGGATGCCAGCACTGCAGGCAGAGGGTTAACACTGGAGATGCGACTGTGAGCAAAACAGACAAAAATTCCTGATCCTTGTGGGATTCTCATTCTAGTGGGAGTAGATAGCTAACAAAATATAAATAAGAAAGAATATAACATAGCAAATGGTGATAAATAACAAAGGAAAAGTAAGACAGGTAAGGAGATGTGGGGTGCAGAAGCAATGTGGAAGTAGCTGTGAAACTTAACCTGTCATACTGCAAGAAGTAGACTGTGCCATCAGAAAAGCTTCAGTGTGAAATTGTGACTGCCCTTTGTGGATCTATGGCCTTGGACAGGTCACTTAACCTATAGTGATGAGTTTCCAGTTACAATAATACTACCCAATATATCCATTGTGAAAATAACAATAAAATTGTTGCCCCTGACTTGGCCTTTGGTTTGTAGTAGGAAGTATATAAATTCTAATTCACTTCCCTTGGCTAAGTTCCTCTGGGAAACTATCCCTCAGTCATCTCTAGTATATGTATTGCTTAAAACAATGACTAGGTGCACAATATTTTTCCAGTATTTGATTAAAACATTTTTAAGTATACAGAAAAGTTGGAAGCATTTATGAGGGGAAGCCCATAGACCTACTATCAAGATTCTACCATTAAGATAATATTATACTTGCTTTATCACCCATCTCTTTATTCATCTATCCATCTATCAGTTAATATTATTTGAATGTATTTTAAAACACATTGCAGATATCAGTGCATGTCCCACTACAATACTTCAACATATGCCTCATTAAGTAAAGTTCGATATTTGTTTAAAACTTTTTTGTTTTAAGTTATAATTTATGTACAATGATGTTTAAAATATTAAATATATTTACTAAGGTTTGAAAACTGCATATACCTGTGTAATGCAAACTCCTATCAAGGTATAAAATATTACTATCACTACAGGAAGCATCTTCATACTTCTTCCCAAACATATCCTGCACACTTCTCCCAGAGGAAACCGCCGGTTGATTTTTTTTTAACCACTATAAACCATTTTTGCCTGTTCTGGAATAAATTGATTTTTTAATGAATAAACACATGGATTGTTCCAGTTTGGCATTATTATTAAGAAAGCTGTCAGTGTAAGATAGCCTATGTCCTTGGGCCCCTGCACCCACATGGGAGACCCGGAGGAAACTCCTGGTTTCTGGTTCAGCTTTGCCCAGAGTCAGCTGCTGAGGCCATCTGGGGAGTGAACTAGCGAATGGAAGTCTTCTTTCTCTCTCTTTCTCTCTCTCAACTCCACCTTTCAAATAAATAAATCTTTTTTAAAAAAAATAGGAAGCTTCCAAAACTATTCATGTAAAAGTGTTTTTGTGGATATGTATTTTCATTTTCACTCAAATGAATACCCAGGAATGCAACAATTGAGTCATTCAGTAGGTGAATGGTCAGTTTCATAATTAACTACAATTTTTTTTAATCTTTCACCTTTTTGTTAATAGCCATTGTAACAAGGATGAGGTGATATCTCATTGTAGTTTTAATTTGTATTTCTCTGGTGATTAGTAATTTTGAGCATATCTTAATATGCCTGTTGACTATTTCTGTATCTTCTTTTTAGAAATTTCTATTCAAATCCTTAACTCATTTTTAAATTGGGATATGTGTTTTCATTTTATGGAGTTGTTTGAGTTCCTTATAGATTTTGGATATTAACTCCTTTTGAAATTTATGCTTTGAAAATATTTTCTTCCATCCATAGGTTGTCTGTTTGCTCTTCTGATTTGTTTTATTAGCTGTGCAGAAGCTTTTTAGTTTAATGTAATCCCATTTGTCTATCTTTTGCTTCTGTTGCTTGTAATTTTGGGCTCATATTCAAAAAGTCGGTGTTCATGCCAGTGAAGATTTTCCCTTATGTTTTCTTCTACTAGTTCTACAGTACCAAGTCTGACATTTAGATTTTTGATCC